TGCCTGTAGGAGCTTTTTGGTGCTAACTTAGTTGGGGGGGGGGGGGGGGCCACGCGGCGGCGCGGCAGTCTGCTCACCTGGGCTCTCTCGAGCGAGACAGTGTAAACTCGAACATTCCAGCTTTTCACGCATGTCAAGTGACTGCCCCACCCCCCACCCCCTAGACTGCCTACACTCCCCCTGGCCCACGGATTTCCGAACATGCCAGGCGAGCAGACTGCCGCGCCGCCGCGTGGTTTCCCCCCAACCCACTTAGCACCCTTTTTTGCATCTTTCTTCTGGGAACTATCCATTCATTTCGAAGTGATCAGGGTTAAAGCTTTAGTGATTATCATTCTGAGAAAATTCTGATTATCCAAATGATGCTCTTTAAGGAGAAGAAATCTGAAGGGAAACCATTGAAGTCGGCTCTTGCGAAGAAGAAGAGGGTACGTCCAATATTTTTTTGAAGTTCGATTAATTAGCGGTTCACATGCCGCTAATTTCAGCGAAATTCTGATGACTCAGACGGCAATGAGAGAGATGACAGTGACGAAGACACTTCGAAGCTTGAGGAAATGAACGAAAGGGACAAGCTCAGTTAGTTATTTTGCCATTATTTTTTTATCCTACCTATTCTCAAGAATTGTTGAACACCATCTGGGATTAGGTCTTTTTTGTGCAAAAGCAGTTTCAGAGCGAGCACGGCGGAAGGGTATCGATCCTATGGATCCTGCAGCTTATGGAGATGTTCCTGTGTGAGTTCTTCTGCTTTTTGCATTCTGCGTATTTCTTTTTTCTTTGCCAATCATCTTTTTTATTGTTTCTCCCAATGTTATCTTTCCCTTTTTCAAATTATATTTTTATAGTGGAAAGTGGTCTTCTGGGCTTCATGCGCATGACAGAACCGGTGCCGATGTGACAGCGGGTGGTCCACTTTTCCAACAACGACCTTACCCCGCCCCTGGTGCCATTCTAAGGCTGCAGAAGAAAAAGGACGAAGATGACTAATGGAATAAATGTGAAATGTGTTATGATGTCATTTACTATAATTTATAACCATGTTTATCTCTTTGTGCAGAAGTTTCGCTTGGTTTTTGCGATAAATGAGAATAAAATTTCAGTGTGTGTTGTGTTGCAAGAATGGTTGTGCTCAAAGGTACTCTTATCTGTCATTGTTGTGCGCTTTTCGTCGTCGTTATCTGTTCTAGCAGCAAGTTCTTCAGATGTTGCTCTTTTGATTTCTTAGTCCCCAACAGAATTTCGCTCAAATTCTTGCCTAATTTTGCGAACAGATGATCCGACGAACTTTTGTCAAAAAACTTTCCAGCTCATGTTTTGAGTAGGTTTTCAGTTCGAAAGAAGCTGCAATTTTGAAATCGTTGACTGTTGCACTTCACAATGTAGCGGACTGTTGTTAACTCTCTAACAAGCAGCGTTTTCGCCTTGGGTTGAGGTTTGAAAGTTTTATTTTTCTACGCGCGCGGTCGTGTAAAATGCACCAAGAGCCAAAATTTCAGCGAGTATGGTGTAACACTTCGTTTTTCTTTATATATTTATAAGATCTATCGCTGTTCCATTTTCTGGTCATCCGATGGGCTCACACGTCTGCAAAAACGCCTCTTGTTTCCTATCTAGCGCAATGCTTTTCGTTGGTGAATGCTAAGTTAACCTTGTGCTTGGGCTCAACGTTGAGCTCAAAACACACCCTAATACCGCGTGGGTATAGCCTTCCTTTCGCAGATGTCGTACATATTGTAAACTATGCGCCGATTATGCCTTTGAAATTTCTTCCTGCATTGAGGTTCTAGTTAATTGATTTAGTTATTTATCTTTGTTGTCCATTCTTTCTTAACGTGGCTCAAATCTCCTCTGCTAAAATTTGGCTTCAACTAATGCCAGTCCAGTATTGCTTCAATGATGCAGCCCAGTATTGAACATTTAAAGTCAAGTCAGGCTCCTATGAAGGGAGAGGTTAGAATTAAGGGATAATATTGGTAAAAACTCAACACTAATTTTTGTATGCACCTCTCTAGTTGATTAAAATGGGTTACTTGTCGGCGACTATTGCGATGTTTTTAAGATATGGCTTCTGATGCAATTCACCTTGTGGTATCAAGGTTGTCTGACACCCACAAAGCTGTCAGCGATCACTTAAAAAAAGTTGATCCACTGTGGCTGGTTATTGGAGCAGTGGGAGGAACTGTCGTCTATTTGAAGATCAGCCGTCTTTACAGACGAAGTGAGGAACCTCTAGTAAAACGGTTAGTTCAAAAGCTTTTGTTTATCTGTTGTTAAGTGTTTTTGTTACTCCTTCGAGACGAGCCAAAACATTGACTAGGAGGTCCATCATTGCAGACAAATTGTAATTATACCACCGTTTTCTGAGTCTATGGGTGTTCCATAGATATAGCAGACCTCCCTGTAGAGTGAACTCAGGTCATCATATTTCATTTTATTGGGGAAGAATTGTGATAATAAAAAAGGATAAAGCATTTGCCGTTGATCAATCCCTTTTTGGGATGCGGCACGCATTCTACTTCCATTTGTACATTCGTAGTGGCGTTTGAATGCGATGTGGCCTATACAATGACTTGCGGGGGCCAGCCGATGTACAAGTCAGTGTTTTTATCCTCCCAGACAAGTCTGGTACCAATTAACCGACCCCGGAGGGATGGAAGGCTTGGTTGGCCCGGGCGACTCACGACCCAGGATTTGATCCCCGGACCGCTCGCGTGGTAAGCGTGCCACTTGCCACTACACCACTTCCGCCCAAAAATGGGAGAAAGAAAACTAAAATCTAGAAAAAACAGTGATCATCCTGTTTGGACCCCCGTGTGATGCGTGCGCAGCCAAACTGGTATATAAAATTCTATCGGTGGGATCACCAACATTACTCATTGATGTGATTCTGAGTTATTATATATTTGTCACGTGGTTGGACCTCCTGGGAAAATTTTATGGTTATAGTGAGCACG